ACCAAGAGGCATAATTAAGGCCATTAAGTTTTGGAATTTGTTTGCCAAGGCCTTTGGACATTCTAGTAGATGTCCAAGATTAGATGATCATATAAAAACGATTGAGAAGGATGCAGAGTCAAAGAGTCAAGTAACTCAAAGTCTAAGGGTTCAAAATAATGATACCCAAAGAAACTCCAAGTGGCATCATGTAAAGGTACACTGTCGCCAGTGAATCCTAAGTAAGGATCCACACAACTATAGGGAATAGGAAAACAACCAGTGTTACAAAAACCAGGACATTGAGATTTTACAATGATTTTGAAAATATTATAAGATTCATCCAGCACTGGTTCCTCAAGCTCCTTGTGGTACAGGCCTCTAGATGTGTACAGTATGTCCATGGTACTGGGGAGAGGATAGTTGCATGTTAATGGTATGAGACTGGTGAGCTCTTGCAAGAGCCATGGAAGGTTCAAAGTGGCATCATGGTTCCATGAAATAATCAAAAGAAGTGTTGGCCATGACATGTTCAAAGTCCCTGCAAATGTCCTCTGTTGAGGGCCAGTAAGTGAATTTTCTGTGACTGGCTCCATTAACATATCCAAGATGTCTTGAGAACTCTCATATCTGACATTGGCACCCATATTGGCTTGTCATTTAAACTCCAGCAAGAACTCAAAGAGCTCTTTATCAAATTCATCTCCACTTCTACATCTTTGGTGGAACCACCTTGGGACACATCTGATGTCAGTGGACCTGTCAGCCCAAATTCCTTGGTGAAGGCACTCAAGATGCTCATGCCAAACCCAAAGAGGCAGGATGAGCCTGCAGAAGTTTCTGGCAAGGTAGTGCAGATGGGCATTGTGCATGACATAGATGAAGGTGTCATGGATAATGGTTGACATGGGGATGGTGAATAGCAAAGGATCTTCATAGGTGACACTGGGTAAGTCACAACCATTGAAGTTAGCAATCACATGTGGAGAAGATGAATGGGTAAGCTTTAGGAAGAAGTCAGTGAAATAGCTGTGATAAGCAATGTGGATACCAGGGCAAAAGTACAGGGAATCAAAGCCAGGAAAAGTGGGCATTTGATCCCAGGAGAGTTTGACATTGGAAAGAGGGATGAGATAAGTTGTGGGATTTGGCTTCTTGAAGAAAGCCATGGATGATGGAACTGCCTCACACCATGAGGCACAGTCTCAGACATACAACATCTCCATATACTCTATTATCTCCTTAATTGCATACTTCCTCCACTTTGCACCCTCATACATTCCATCCCAATGTTTGGTGATTTGTGTTTCCAAACATTTAGCAACAACGAGAGACATTCTTGATAAATAGACTTGATTAGTTCCCATAATTTTTAAAGAAACTTGAACTCAGCAAGATCAAGATCTGCAAGATTGATATCAGGTAAGACAAGGTTCTCAGTGATGAGGTCTCCACCATTATGGAAATCCTCAGTGAGAATCTCTAGCAGTTTGGCCATCTCCAGAGGATCTGGAGAAGGTACATGTTGGGGAGGAGCAGGATCAACTGCACCTTTGACAGTGTAGGCCAGTACAGGATCTAAGTCTGGTTCTCAGTTGAGATCAGGAATATGAAAGTGTAAGTAATGAGGCAGTGGAAGAGGGAGCATATGTCTGAGTCAAAGTACTTGATGTTGTTCACCTAGCATGTTGAACAGAGCAAGGAGCTCACATTCTTTGACTCTGGCCACATATTGTTGATAAAGCTGCAGCCAGGTTGGGAGACTGAGTAACATCATCCAGAAGGTGGATGAAGTGACAAAGAGTTGGTTCATGTCCTGCACACCAAAAGCTCCATAATACACTAGAAAAATCGACTGATAACAGCCAGCTAAAGGTGACAACATGATAGTAAAAGCAGCCCAACCAAGCACATCTACGCCTACTTGATCCATAGTGATTTGCCTGTCAGCAGTGATCAAATCTATGCAAATCAAGTAAATAGCACCAACACCTAGAAGGTGGGGCTCATAACCTATTGCACAGAGGAATGGGAAGGGGCAAGAGAGCTCATACAGAACACTTGCCTGATAATAACTAGTTGGGCTTGTTAGAGCAGTTTGTAGGAAGAGTTGATTGTTCTGTAGGTAGAACAATGGGGAGTACAGCAGAAATCCCTGAGTTTATATACATGTAAATGTACACATGGACCAGTTGCATAAAAGGAAAGTACTACTATGTATAGTATAGAAGTGCATAGAATGTCATGGAATATGATGTAGTAAATGATGTCATTATGACATCATTGTGGAGCTATCTGACTGAGCATGTCAGGTGATCATACACATGTATCACAGCATGTTAGTCTAGGCGTGTCTAGATGTCGGAACTAGTAAATATTTCCAACAATGATCTACCACCAACACCAACTGACAATGGCGAGGTCTGCCACCAATGCAAACCCAGGTTCCAACATCCGATCGACAGCGTACAACGGGACTATATTTAGTAGAACGCGTATACGGTCATCAGTACTGTCACAAGGAACATAAAATAGGTCGGAGAGTCGTGTGTTTATTGCGTTTGCAACACAGAACAAGTACACAATGCCAGGTATGTAGTAACTGTACCGTTGCTACGAGTCGAAAGGTTGCTCGAATAGAAATTCGAATAAGGACTCGAGGAACTGCCTGTTCTCAGGTTGCTCGTCGACTGGTACGGCCATTATTGCCTCTTTAAGTTCCTCCTGAGTGGCACGGTGGGTGACATCCCTAACGTCCGGTTTCTTTCGTACATAGATATGAGAGAACAGGTACATCAATTCCTCGACAGAGGGAGTATGCGACTGTCGACGTTCTTTGAGTTTGTTCTTGATGCGTCTTGCCAATTTAGGGAGTGGTAGATGGGACGCACAGAGTCTCTCCCATGATTCCTTGCCAAAACAACGAATCATTTTTTCTTCTGCCATGTCTAATAGGATGCCGTGATGAAATAGCACTAGGAATGAAATAGCCTGACGGAGAGATCAGTCAAGAAACGCTCTACATGGGTCAGAACCAATTACCTGGCACAGGTCGTCGGTCTCATTGGTATATTTCCTGTACCTCTCGTCGACCTGAACATTGAGGGTTGCTATGGCATGACCCAACTCCGACTGCTCCTTTCGTATTTCGCTGTGTACTCTTTTCAAGTCATTGATCGACTTCTTCGTTCTATCGATGCTTCTTCTAAATTCATCGTCCAACTTCTTCATTTCACTGCCATGGCGTTCCATGTTGTGCTCATGCCTCATCTCAGCCAACCTGCATCCCATTGTAGTAAGTCTCGACCGCAACATTTCTGTAATGTCACAGTTAGTCCTAGCAGATAGCAACAATATAACGGAAACTCACCATCACTACAGTCTCCCAAAGATCCATCCTCAGGACAATCTCCAGCATCTTTCGTCTTTGGCTCAATGACGACGTGCATCACTTTATCCTCCTCATCTAGGCCACAGTCAGCTGACAACTACCTGTGGTTTACACTGACAGGCTCACCCAGAAAATGTTCACTTTTGAGCATGTCTGGTCTCACTGGGACCACAGAGTCGCCAGTTGAATTCACTGCTGTTGCTTGCACCGTGGGTTAAAGACCGCCAGGGGTGTGTGCAGGAAACAGATATTCCAGATGCATAATACGAATTTCAGGGTGGTTAAACATAACAAGTGTTCTCGAAAGCCGTGACATGGCCAGTACCGTGATTGAGAAATCGAAGAGGGAAGAAATCTTAGGGCCTCGCGCAGTTGGTCTGCAAGTCCTAAGCGGAGTTTCAAGACCTAACCTAACCCCAAGGTGACGTGACCTGTCTAACTGCTTATGGTGCACGTCACCTAGCCACTGCCACCACTTTGGTACAAAGCTTATAGCACACACAAAACCCAACGGATTGCTTAGACTCTTTTCAAAACAACTCCAATTTAATATTATTATTATAAGAACTTCACCAGCCAAAATTTTGATACCTTAAAAAATGACGAAGTTATAAACTCACTCTGGGGGCAAAAACCAATGTTTGATGGTCAAACATGGGTCAAACATTGGTCAAACAGATACTATTGTCTAACTATGTTCCTACTATGAACATTTGTCATAAACATTAATAGTGGCGCTCAAGGTGGTGCTGGAAGTGCTCTGGAATTGTTCTGGAATGGCATTGGCCTTGCGGAGTTTGAAAAGTTATGTCTCCTCTATGACCACACATTTGCCAACAGACCCACCAGGAATTCAGGCTCTGGTCGTGGATTGAGCAGTAGATCTACTCATGGCAGAACCAATGGCAAGAACCTGGCTTCATCCAGCCAGTGGGCTGTCACCACTACTGGTGATGCATCTACTACAGAAGGTCTTCAGGCAAAGAACATCAACTGGGATGTTCCTCATACCAATATATTTGTCAACTGGTTGCTCACCCATCCTGCAAACCAGAGAATCCTTTTTAGTGATAAGATCACAACCATCTCACCACCTTCACCTGATGAGGGGCCAGTGGGCCATAACAAGAAAGAAGTTCAAGTAATTATTGCTGAAGTCATATTCAAGAATGATCCCTACTACAAGGACATGTACATGGCAGGTGCTGCTAAGTTCCAAGTTAGCATAGGCAACCACATCACTACATCAGTCTCCTCATCATATTTTATCTGTGATTTTTTAATGATCATTTAGGCTGAAGGGATCATATTGCAAGTGCCATGCACACTTTAAACAATCAGGGGAAGGCATATCATGGAAACTGGTATCCCCCTCATCACCTTCCTGGACCAAGTAGTTGACAAACTAGAGACTGTGACATTGGCTGAAGTTGACACATCCTTGAGAAAGCTGATTTTGAGTGCCCAACTAGTTGCCCAAAAGTGGAATGAGTGAATGCCAGCCATCTGCATAACTCAAAAGGTCTTGGTGATGATTTTCACTGAGGTTGTCAAATTAAGGGGTGATGCCAGGCTCAGGGCCATCAGCCAGGTCTATCAGCAATGGTGAAAGGTTGCCTTGCAGGCACCAATGCTCTGGGAAAGGGTGCTAGTGTTCTCTGGTAAACCACAATGGACATCTGAAATGCTCAGGCACATGCTGAACACACCTCTTGACATCTCCATCAATCCAGTTGACCTTCCAGCAGATTCTAGGGCACTGGTGATCTTGAATGTGATGACTGTGGCTAATCATTTCTGGAGGTTTAGAGCCTTCAATCTCACAGCTCCATATCCATATATCTGCAAATTTTTTGACTTGGTATCCTTCAACCACAATGAAGCACCCCACCTTTGGGTCTTGTCCCTTAGAAGCCAAAACTGGGGCAACCTGCCTGAGTGCAACAAAGCCCTCCCAGTCAAATTGTTGACCCTGGCCACACCATGCCTAGAGTACCTGGTGCTCCAAGGCTGCCACTTTCATTGGGATGCGATGAGTTCTGGCCTTGCACATTCCTATGGTCTATCAACCCTGCACATCGATTACCCAGAAAAAAGTGACCCAGCATCGAAGCCATCAACTTTTGCACTACTCACTGCACTTGTGCCACTCACTTCACTCAAGGAGCTCAAGTTATGCAATGCCACGAAACCTGTCCCAACCTCACAATGGGACCACTTGACTGTCATCCTCCTGCAGTTGCAGACCTTGCATCTGCAGTCAAGCATGCAACTCTGTGCCAACTTCCTGGGAAGAATTGAGGCACCAACAATTGTCTGCCTTGATATAGATTGCAATACCACCACTTCATTCATTGAAATTTCTGCATTCATGACTGCAGTTGGGAAGGTGGCCCCCAATGGATGATGAGGGGAGTGAAGGAAGCAAGAGCAGCAGGGACAACACTGCTGGCTCACTCAGAGTCGAGAAGAGGCTGCTAGTCAGAAACAGCAGTCAGCATGGCAATCAAGACCAGGTTTCAAGGATGAGAAATGCACCTGCACCCTCAATACAAACCACATGACATACAGAACACTTTCACAGGAACTTCATACCAAAACATTGATGTAGACACATTGGGACACTCGCCCTCGAAGGGTTCAGAACCCTGTTTGAGAATATAGGCACAATTGCACCCTGTGACAGTGGTTGTGCAGAGGTATGGAGTATAGAGCTGAGGCACAAACTTGATATTCATGGCTGACCAAAAAGAATGTGTATGAATTTCGGGCTGCAGGGACCTTGTAAACAAGGTGATTTCAAATGACAAACAACAAGAGGTGGTGGTACTATGCTGAATCAAATATATGACTTCCAAGTGCGATTTCCAGCTATGCAGATCCCTCACATTTCCCTGGCTTGAGGTTGTCCAGTTTCGCAATAAGGATTGACACTTGCCCCTCTCCTGTTGGTTCCCTGCATGCCCTGTTCATACAAATAAATTGCTGTGACCCTCCTTGGCCATGCAGAACAGCAACTTGTTTCCATTTCACTAGAATGATGGCACATTGTGGGCATTGGATGGGGAGAGGTTGGCCCCATAGATGGATATCCCTATGCCCCCAGATATACCTTATAGTAGTGAGTATGTGTTGAGTTGCACCTGTCTCTACCATGAACAGAAAAACACTCAAGTGTCCCCCAAGTCAAGTACAGTCTGTGAGGGCCTCTGGCAAAATCATCTGGATGGGGTAACCTTTGATATACACACATTCAATGATGCCAATAATGAGGTTTGATGTGAGGACAGGTTGAAGGTACTCTGCATCAAAGGTGACAGCACTGGAGAAACCTAAGCTGTAGCATGTGAAGCTTGGAATTAGTACATAACATCCTCATGTGGAACAGCCTACTGCACAATGGTATCCTGGATGTTGGTTAAACTAGCTTCGTGCCCGATGACTGACCCACAGGTGAAGAGAAATAGCATGGCACCTGACAGCAAGGAATGAAATGGGGATAGTAGGCTGGAAAGGCACTGTGTGGAAATGATGTCATCAGAAAAATTATATTCATGTCAATGGGGTGTGCACCTCACCTCCAATGTCACCAAAAGCCTGATAACTACCTTTACCATGTTGACAGGTCCCCCAGTTGGTATTCCTGTAAGGCATAGGTGAATGACAAGGGTAGGGTGTGAAAGAAGCCTTGAATGAATGGACAACTCTAATGGTTGGTTAACTGAAATGGGCACTGGCAACACTGGATAGCCATCACAGTAGAAACCCTGTTCACTTGATTAGCACTAATACCACTGGTGACTGATTATTACCTACCCAATAAGGTTTGACAGTTTGTTCCTGCTGTGAAGTAAGCCAGTGGCAGTTGACACATTGAAACTGGACATCTGGGGCAGAAACATTGCTGAGGTGTTCTTGTGGAACAGTTACACAATGGTTACAGACAACCCATTCACAACTGTCACAACACCAGAGTTTCCCACCATCTTGACACAAAATGCAAAAGTTCTGTGTTTAGAGAAATTTTGATCAGTTGATTCACTTGCAGAGATATACATACTGTACTCACATGACATACTTGTGCATCCTCTATCAACAGAATTGCTTCCAGATTGTCTGATTGAAGCTTGGCTGCAGCTCCACCAGAATCAAGGTCTGAAAGCATGACACAAGGTGTGATGCTGCCATTGGATTTTTTTGCTGTTTGCTTCATGCATGTCATAACCATGCATTCACTCCAAGTCCTTACTCACTCCACACCCTCTTCTGCTGGTCATTCACTCACTCTGCACCAACTCCACCCAACTTCTGTCAGTTACAAACCATCTCTGCTCTGACAGTTGTCAGACTTGTGTTGCTCTCCTATTGGACTGAATGGACTGTTCTCTGAGGGGTCATGTGACTACCTTCAGACTCCTCCCTGACAGTGCACAGTCAGGTACTCCACAGTGCATGCACCACATGGTCCAGCACCTGGACTGTTTCCTTTTCTGGATGTTCTATGTTACCTGTTTGTATGTCCTCCATCTACCCTTCATTCATTGTCTAGGAAGTTTTACTTGAAAATTTCTGGGTCTCTGTATGTCAGTTCTGATTCTGGTTACTGTACCTCTGTAGTAGTATAAAAGCATGTATCATACTCTGCCATTCCTCAGTACAAATATCAACTGAGTTCCTACTCCCTCTGTCTCCATCCTCTGCCTGTTGGAGTTATCTCTGACTTTCTGTCTATTTCTCTCCCTCTGAAATACGAGGGCTGAGATCATGCAAGGGGGTAGCACATGAGCTAAACCCAATGCCCTCACTCTGCTCTGCCTTTGTCTCAGTGGACTTCATTTCTGCCAACACTCTGCCAGTCAGAGTTCAGTTCTTTCTTTTGGGCTTGCTTCTGAACTCTCCACAGCCCTTGTCCAGTGTTGGAGTTGGTTGGAGTAGGCCTGGACTTGACAGTATATTTGTACTTGCACTTGTATGATCTCATTTTCTGTCTTCTGAAAATCTTACACCATTATGAGAACTTGAGCTCAATCCCAGAGAGAGGTCACTGAGAACCTTGCACTAGCTAATCTGTGTTGACTCCCTTCTGTCATCAAACAGTTCCAATCATTCTCTGCTTGATGCTGCTCTCACACTGAAGGCAAAAGCACTTCACAAGCTGGTTGCTCCAACCTCCACCCAACCACTTTCCATACTCTGTCTCCTCATAACCAAGATGATGGACCCAACCCCAACCCTGATGACCCTGATGGTGATCCTGATGGCAGGGGCAGTGGTGACAGGGATATCCCCAAAGACCTGGCTGAGCTGCCAGAGGACCCCCTCATAGCTCTTGCTAGAGCTGTCCATGCACTTGTGCAGTCTAGTTCATGCACTGGGGACTCCACTCCAAAAACCAAAGTCTGCAAGCCTGACACCATTGACAGCTCTGACCCTAAGAAACCCTGCAAGTTCCTCATACAATGTGAGCTGAACTTCCAAGAACACCCTCACACATTCTGCTCCAACAGAGCAAAGGTAACCTTTGCTCAGTCTTACCTTAAGGGTATGGCTCTGGCTTGGTTCAAGCCAGACCTACTAAACCCCAACAATTATGACCACCCATTCTGGATGGACAACTACCACAAGTTCTTACAAGAGCTCACAACTAATTTCAGTCTGCATGATGCCATAGCAGATGCCATCCAACAACTCAAGAACCTTACTATGAAGGATGGCTCTCAAATTACCAAATATGTTGTGGAGTTCAATTACTGGGCCTCACAGGTCAAGGACTACAGTGTTGGTGCACTCCACCACCACTTTTATAGTGGACTTCCAGACTGCATCAGGGATGAGATTGCTTGCATCAGAAAACCTTCTACCCTCATGCAATTCCATGAATGTGCTCAGACTATTGATGCATGCTACTGGGAGCATAAAGCAGAAGTTTCATGCACCACCAAGTCTGCCTCTGACAAGTCACAGTCTTCCAACACTGACAATAAAGCCAAATTGTCACCCTCTGCCTCCACTCCAAAGTCCAACACCAAGGGCAAGGGCAAACAGAAAGATCCACCCAAGTCTGACATGCCCAAGTCCAATATTGCCCATCTTCTGGGCAAGGATGGCAAACTCACCTCTGCTGAATGCCAGTGCAGGATGAAGAACAACCTCTGCCTCTACTGTGGTGAGGCTGGTCACTCTGCCAAGGACTGTCCCAAGTCCACCTCCCATGCAGCCAAAGCTCATGCAGCTATGGCTGGAACTCTGCCTCCTCTGCCCATGGAGAAGGTAGAGCCAAAAAATTAGTCCACTCCTCCAGGGAGCTCACAGAGCCTGGAGGAAGCATTGATCCCAACTGTGTGCAACTGGACATCTGACTCAATGTGTCTGCTCTCTCTAGTCTGAACTCTTTACTTCTGTCTGTAACACTTCTTGGATACTGTTCCTGCATTGATCAATTCTGGCACTTCTCATTGTTTAGTAGACCTGTCCATAATCAAAAAATATGCTATTCTTGTTTCCCCCATTTCTCTGCCAGTTCTGCTCCACTTGTTCAATGGTAGTACAAATGCTGTCATTTCCAAAGAAGTAGATCTTTGCCTCTGCTTTCCTTCCAGCAATGTCAATTCTGTTTCATTTTATGTTACTCCATTGGATTCTTCATGTTCACTGGTATTAGGACACAACTGGCTCACCCACTTCAATCCATTGATTGACTGGGTACTGGATGCCAACACCCCAGGCACCTTCATCACCTTCCACTGTGACCTCTGCTCCATCTGCAGCTCCAACTGCAACTCTGACAGACTCACTGCACTCTACTCTGCTTGTCTCACTCATCAATGCTGCTGTGTATGTCAGAGCCTGTGCTCTCCCTGGCTCTAGACAGTTTCGCTTATGGCTCTCCACTTCTTCTCCACCTACTGACCTCTCCTCAGTCCCTCCTGAGTATCATGAGTTTGCTGATGTCTTTAGTAAAGACAAGGCTACTGAACTTCTGCCACACTGCTTGTTCAATCTCAAGATCAACCTCAAGGAAGGAGCCTCTCCACCCATTGGCATGATCTACTCTCTGTCTCTGCCAGAGCTTGAAGCTCTATGCACCTTTATTGACAAGCATCTTGGCTATGGTTTCATCAAGCAGTCCACCTCCACACACAGTGCCCCTGTCCTCTTCATAAAGAAGAAGGATGGTTCACTCCACCTCTGTGTAGACTATTGAGGGCTCAATAAAATCATGAAAAAAGACCGCTATCTGCTGCCACTCATCTCTGACCTACTCAACTCCCCAAGCCATGCTAAAGTCTATACAAAGATTGACCTCTGCCATGCCTATCATCCAGTCCACATTGCAGATGGAGATGAATTGAAAACAGCTTTCCACACTCATTATGGTTCTTACAAGTGGTGGGTAATGCCATTCAG